GAATAACAAAATTATAATTATCATAATGATAATGATAACAGCAATAATAAGCGTAACGATAATAAAAAGGAAAACATCAATAATAGCAACAGTCATAAGCAATATCATATGTATTACCAATATCATAAAATCGTTTTCAGTCTATCTCTCTCCCTAAGCATTTCCACATGTAATAAATACATGTAAAACATATTTTCTTGCCTGTCTCTCTCCTAAATAATTTTACATCTTGGAGAACTCCCACGTTTAATTTCATTTTCTTCCATGTTTTATATTAGAATAATAAAAATGATAATAAAAAACGCATTTTGCATGGTCCACATGTGTTGGCTGTTGTATGGTTTGGTATATTAAAATGCAGGGATGAAAGCTTACATTGTTATATACTTTTTGAATAGTTTTAATTCAGATTCACATTGGTGTAAGCACGGACGGGATTTTTGGATATGCAAATATATGAGGAAATGGGTAAGGAAATTATGAAAAATACGACACAAAATGAGTTTATGATAAAGTTAGGGTTACATTACTTGCAAAACCTTTAGAAATCTAAAGTTTTTTTTTTCTTCGTAATCCTAGAATATTATTAATTGTCGAAAGATAATGCCGGATTTGATTATTCCGGATTAATTATGAATGAGAAAATATGATCATAGCAGGACCACAGATGCCTAATCGAAATAAAGTTGAAATCTGTCAGTGAAAACATTAACTTTTGTATCATAATCAGTGACTCCCCATTGTAAAAGCCATCTGGGGGGGGGGGGCAGCCTTTGTGGGTGCCGGTCCCAAGCCCGAATAGATAGAGAGGGTTGGTGTCAGGAAGGGCATCCGGCTGTAAGCGCCCCTGCCAAAACCAATAGGGAATGAGCCGTAATAGGAAAATCAGTGGAGGCGGCTCATCCATAACGGCGAGCTGAGAAAGCCGAGAGGAAGAGAAACCTGAGAAATATGAGAGAAACGCTGATAAAGCTGAGAAGAAGAGAAAAGAAGAAATCATTACCACAACAGAATTCTTGCTTTTATGATCTTGTTCAGATTTCCGTGATCATTTCTGGTTTCATGGTGTTGTCTGATTCATATAATATTTCACATATTTTTCTTCACTGCTGCTATTACCATGACATGATTTTTTTTCCAAATATTAATGTTATAGGAGGAAGTATAGGTTAGTATAATAGGCCCAGTGATTTCTGCTTACCTTTTATTAACGTTATTGATAATACAATTAGTATAATATAATATATATATATATATATATATATATATATATATATATATATATATATAATATATATATATATATATATATATATATATATATATATATTATATTATAATATTATATATATATATATATATATATATTATATATATATATATATATATATATATATATATATATATATATATATATATATATATATATATATATATATATATATATATATTATATATATATATATATATATATATATATCTATCTATCTATCTATCTATCTATCTATCTATCTATCTATATATATATATATATATATATATATATATATATATATATATATATATATATAGATTAGAGACATAGAAGTAATATTAATTGATTTTCGATATTTCTGCAAAAAAAAAAAGAGATGAAAAAGAGAAAATAAAAAGATTAAGTTAAGTAAAAGAGGTGAAAAAGAAGAGAAAATTCGGACAAAGGGGAAGTAGAAAAGAGAAAGGGAAGAGAATAAGAAATGAAGAACTAATGACAAACCGACAGAAAGACAAAAAAAAAAAAAAAAAAAAAAATAATAAATAAAAAAATAAATGATAAAAAAATGAATAAAAAAAAAAACAACATAAAAACACAAACACACGAGAAGTACACGAAAACTAATAAAACAAGACGGGAACCAAAAGAAGAATACGATAGTCTGTTTGTCTCTCCCCCCTCCCCCCCCCCCCCCCCCTATCTCCAGAGGGAACAGCCAATCAGAGGCAAGAACCTACTGTTTTATAAGACATCTGGTATTCATGAACAGGAACTGGCCAAGCGATGTGATGTTTGCTTAAGAATAATTACTTTGATTATTACAAGAGTAGTCTGTGTGTCTTGAAGAAAAGTTTTTGAATTGGAGTTGTTTCATGCATTGTCATGGGTGCCAGTCTGTAATTTTCTTTCTCATTTTTTTTTCTTCTTTTATCATGGTAATAAGAGTAATCATTGTTATTACTATAATCTTTATTGTTATTATTATATCTATTATTATTATTACTGCCATTACTATAATGATTATTATTATTATCATTATTATTATCATATTTATAATAATAATGATGATTATAGTAATAATGATGATTATTAGTATTGCTAGTTCCATTGTTGTTGCCGTTGCTGTTGCTCTTTCTGTTGTTGTTGTTATCACCATTATCAGTAATTATGATCTTTATAATCACTGCTGTTTAATGCATTGTTAATGTGCTTGTCTAGTAATCTTGCTGACATACGTTCGATCCTGCGCACTGCCAGTGGATGGTCACCCCGACCATTCCTTGCAGGGTTTAGCCAAATAGGAGGAGATTTCACACAGGGTTTAGAAGCAAATAAAGCAGACAACATGTCACAGCAACGACATCTATTCCAACAAATGGAATTGAAACTATTTATTAAAATCTTTTAAATGATTATCATCATTATCATTATCTTTATCTTTCATCGTTATGATCATCACTATCATTATCATCACCATCTCCATCACTATCATCAATATGATATACACAAAAATGTAAATATAAATATCGATATTCACACACACAATATTACACTATTACAATCTATCTATTTGTCTATCTATCTATCTACCTGAGTCTTTAAATCTATGTCTATTTATCTGTCTATCTATCTATCAATCTACTTATCTGTCTATCTATCTATCAGTCTATTTATCTGTCTATCTATCTAGCAATCTGTTTATCTGTCTATCTATCGATCTTTGTTTAATATCTATCTATTTATCTATCAATCCATATAATGTCCAAGATCTTACGTGAAATATTCTACATCGTATGCATTTCCTCCTCTAAACATCCCCTCCAGAGAAGGAAAAAGAGGATTTGCAACTGTAATGAGAAGGAAAGTAATAATGACAATAGCAAGAATACTAATATTAAGGGTAAAAGGGCTACCACAACTAGTATTCATGAGAATGACAGTGATATAACTGTCAATAACAATAGGAGAAGAGAGGGTAACTTTAACAAAAGTAATTTCAATAGTAAAAGGATTTGCAAAGGTATAAGGAGAAGGAAAACGCGCGTCGAAGGGGAACAGCTGACATCTGCACCGGTTGACGTCACTCTTTCTGAATTCACACGCGAAGTCATCTCTCTGCCCTCACAGCCAACCCAGATCCGTTTATCCTATTAAAAACTTCTAACTTTGGGACACTGGTAAAGTCTCTGGTTTACTGCGGTCTCTGGCCTAAGCCTGAGCCAAGTTCCCGGACGAAAGGATTCGCACAGTGGAAAAAGGGATGGAATTGGACTGAAATGCTGGGGTTGCTTTGGAATTTCTATTTCTGAGAAGATTTGTACAGCGGACACTATCAAATATATTATATGTATGTATATATATGTTACTATATAATATATATATATATATATATATATATATATATATATATATATATATTATATAGTGTGTGTGTGTGTGTGTGTGTGTGTGTGTGTGTGTGTGTGTCTGTATGTATGTGTGTGTATATATATAATATATATATATATATATTATATATATATATATATATATATATATATATATATATATATACATATAATATATATATATATAATATATATAATTATATATATATATATATATATATATATATATATATTGGTTGTGTGTGTGTGTGTGGTGTGTTTATAATACACACACACACACACACACACACCACACACACCAATCTATAAATATACTATATTATTATATATATATAATATATTATATATATATATCAATACACCCTTATATCTATATTAATAATAATATNATAATAAAAATAAATCAATGAATAAATAATAATAAAAATCAAAGTGAAGCTACATCAAAGTAAACCATACTCGAACTGCAGTCTTGATCTACTCACAGTTTGGGAGTGCTGGCTTCTGCCGCAGGCGCCTGGGAAGCAGGGGTGCGCACGGGGGAGCTGGCCCCCCCAAGCTTCATGGTCAGCCTTGGGGTAGCTTCTTCCTTCTCTTTCTTGCACTTTTTCTTCTCCTTCTTTTCCGTCTTCATCTTTTCTTTCTCCTTCTTCTTGTCTAGTTTGTCCTTCTCCTTGTCTTTGTCTTTCTTGTCCTTCTTCTTCTTGGCTTTGTCTTTGTCCTTCTCCTTGTCTTTGTCCTTCTCCTTGTCCTTCTCCTTCTTCTCTTTCTTGTGTTCCTTCTTCTGTGAGGGGATAGCACAAATACAAGTTTAAAGAAGTTCATTAACTTTTCAAGATCCATCAATATAGATTTTTTTGAGAATATTATTTTATCTAAATGTGAAAAACAAACAGATCATTGCTATAAATCTCTTACTCAAAGTCAGATGCACTTTACTTCAATGAAAAACATAGATGAACCTTTTTAATCTAGGATTCTACTATTTAGAAACTCCCAAAATTAGTATACTTTATTTATCTTTTTATTTTTTATACCACACTTTCTTTGATCATTTATTTTAATAGCATGTGGCAACAATTATATATGTTTATAAAAGAGACATAGATTGTTGAAAACAGGATTCTGTAGACCAAAAAAATTTAGTACAGCAAGAGTTTGGTGCCAAGGGTACCAGATCTAAGAATTTAGAGCTACATATACCATACTAACTCAAATTATCAATTCCTGTACAGCTCTTATGAGCAGGGTTTCCAAAAGATGAAAATAATGTACTGTTTGATTTAAAACCCTTATTTCTTATGTTGTTAGTCTTTTTATTTGCTAAAGGTGTCTATCTGACAGTGCTATCATTTCCTTTATTTGTAGTGAGCCAACTTTTCCTTGCTCCAGTCATGAAAAGCTGGACTGATCTTTTACAATGCACATCCACACTGTCAAATATGCACATAACTGGCAGTCTTCAGTTTATGGGTTGTGGACCTCTAGTAAAACATTGTTACATTGGCATAAGAAACAAATTTTCCAAACCAAAGGACCTTGTCTTGATTACTCACCTTCTCCTTCTCTGACTTCTCTGGTTTTTCTGGCTTGACTTTGATAAGTGGGGGTGGGGAGTGGTGGGCAGGGGTGCGTGGTCTTGGGGGTGTTGCAGAGGACTGTGTAGGTGAGGGTGAGCGCAGGGGGGAGGGGTGCCCAGGGGGTGGCAAAGGGCTGAAGTCCCTATCATGCCTAGGGGTGAGGGGACGCTCCAAGGGCTCTGGCTCATCCAGGCCTAGGTGATCGTCATCCAGTGGCCGCTTGCTGCCCGGTGCTGCTAGTCTCTGCAAGAAGGTGTGGGGTGGTAGCCGTAGGTCTGGCATTGGGGGGATACCCGGCCGTAGTGGGGGTCCACCATAGGGAGGGATGAATGGGAAGCGGGAGAAAGGGGGAATGAAGCCCGGTGCATTTGGGAAGGGGGGCAAGGAGAATGGGGTGGAGGTGGATGGGGGACCCAGGCTGTCCAAGGGCAGCCCCACCTCAGGCGTTTTGGGACGGTCCGGCGTCTCACTTTCTGAGGCCGAGTGCTCCCTTCGGCCTGGGCTGAAGCCACACTTGGGTGACTTGGAGCGGTCCTTCTTGGGGCGTCTTTCTCTGCCACGCTCCTTGCCCTTCCACTTCTCAGGTGTTTTGCGAATGGCCAGCTGGGGCAGCTCTGGGGTACGGGGCGTGGAGGGTGTGCCTGGTGGGGACATGTCATCCTGGTAGGAAGGGAAGTCTCCAGGTGAGCAATCCAGCTCATCCATGGAGGCGTCCAGTGCAGGCACAGGGTTGTCCAGGACAGCCAGGTCCTCAGGCGGCCTTCGCTGAGCCATCCGAGGGTTTTCATCTATCATGAGGTCTGGAGAGCTGTCACGTGATGGGTGCACTTCACGTTCACCTGTCCGGTCGGCTTCCTTGGTCTCCCCTTTGGGCTTGATCTTCTTGAAAATGCTCAACTTGTCTGGGGGCGCCTCCTGTGCCTTGGCTGGTGGCGGAATGGATGTCACTGTCACATCTGCAGAGGCTGCCAGAGCCAAAATTAGCTCACGCTCTCGTTCACGCTCCTTCTCCTTTTCCTTCTTGTTCTCCTTCTTGGACTCTTTCTCCTTTTTGGGCTCCTTCTCCTTCTTCCCTTCCTTTTCCTTTTTGCCTTCCTTGCCCTTCTTGCCCACCTCCTTGTCCTTCCCGTTCTCCTTCTTTTTGGCTGCATCCTTCTCCTTCTTAGACTTCTTGGTCTCAGAGTCCTTGTTTGTGTCCTTTGCCTTGGGAGTAGATGAACCCTTCTTGGTCTCAGACTTGGGTGTCTTTGGGGGCTTGGGCACCCTAATTTTAGGTGTGGGCATCTTTAGCTTGGGCGGTGTAGGCAGAGGAGCAGCTGCTCCCTGGGACACTGGGGGACCAGGGGTGCTGGCAGCCAGGGGTGTGTTTGCAGGGGATGGCTGGGGCATAGAGGAGCCAGGCTTCACCTGGGGTATCTTGGGGATTTTGGGCATTTTGGGTATCTTGAGCACCTTCATAGGCTTACTGCCAGGTTTGGAGGGGCCTTTGTCCTTGGTAGGACGTGACTTGGAGGGGGGAGGCTTCTGTGGGCCACCCTGATTGTTCTTCTGCCGGATCAGCTTCTCCACTGCAAGCTTTTTCTTGCTAAGAGCACTGGCAGCAGAGGGTGAAGAGCTCCTGGGTGTAGCCATGGGGATGTTGGGTACTTTGGACTCAGGAAGTTTGCCCTCACGAGCGGAAGATATGAAGCCAGATGTCGTCATCATCACACTGACGATCTCACGGACGGGCTGCCCCTCATCATCTAGGGAGTACCTAGGCAGAGTAGGGAAATTATTAGAGGATATGCAGGAAATACAATAGTACAGAAATACACAAATGCATCAACAAATAAAATAATAAACATCCTCCTTGAGCAGGAAGTATTTGTATCTGAATGGTGAACCAAGTAATGCAGTTTATTAATCAATATCACAAAAACAATTTAATGCTATCAAGTCAACCGGTGGCAGCATGTAATCCCAATGACACAGAACACATAGGCAAGTCTATGCCATGTGGTCATTCAAGCAGCACAGAGTAATTACTCTGGTTTAAGCATTCCTCTTGGCTAGTTTTAGTAACCCTATTGTCCCTTGTGCCATGTGTTAAGAATACGTCCCATGATATAAAAAAAGAAGAAGAAGAAGAAAAAAAAAACTACCTCTGGCCTGTAATATGCAATCATCAAGGCCTACCATGTAAATTACAAAATGGGCAAAAGTATGAGACTATCCTACACCTTGAAGGCAAAGAAAAAGCATGTGGAAACATTTCTAGAGAATAATTTAAAGTATT